GCTCAGGCCAAAACCCCTTCCAAGTGGCTCCAAACACAGTACATGCCTCAACCAACCAGCTCCACCAGGGAAACACCTGGCAGACAAACTCAGCCGGCAGCAATACACCCCATAGGCAGCCTTGGCCAGCACCACAGACCCTCCAAAGCGGCTCCTAATCTGGAGCACTAGCTCCCTCACACTAAATCATCCTCAGCAGTCACAGCCAGTCCTCACCGCCAACTGGCCCAGGGACACCCCACACATAGGAGCAACAGCAGGAATTACAGCACAACTATAATAAGAGGATACATGCAACCCACACAGGGGACATCCCTGGAGCACCTGGCTCTGGTGACCAGGGAGGACTGTGCCACTGGGCCCACAGGACACCTCCCATATAAGACCACTCTTTCAAAACTGATAGACATAGATGATCTACCTAACACACAGAAACAAACACAGAGAGATAGGCAAAATGAGGAGACAGAGGAATATGTTCCAAAACAAAAACCAGAAAAAGAGCTAAACAAAATGGAGATAAACAACCTATTAAATAAAGAGCTCAAAGTAATGGTTATAGAAATGCTAAATGAGCCTGGTAGAAGAATGGATTAACTCAGTGAGAATTTCAACAGATATAGAAAAAAAATCAATCAGAACTAAGAATGCATTAACCAAAATGAAAAATACATTAGAGGGCATCAACAGCAGATTAGATGATGCAGAAGAATGAATCATAGATCTGGAAGACAAAGTAGCAAAAATCAACCAATCTGAACAGCAAAAAGAAAAAAAGAATTCAAAAAAAATGAGGATTGTTTAAGGGCTCTCTGGGACAATATCAAGCACACTATTTGCATTGCAGGACTTCCAGAAGGAGGAGGAGGAGGAGGAGGAGAGAGAGAGAGAGAGAGAGAGAGAGAGAGAGAGGGAGAGAGGGAGAGAGGGAGAGAGGGAGAGAGGGAGAAAAGGACAGAAAACCTACCTGAAAAAAAATGGCAGAAAACTTCCCTAACCTGGTGAAAGAAAAGATGTCCAAGTCCAGGAAGTGCAGAGTCCCAAACAAGATGAACCCAGAGACCTACACCATGACATATCTTACTTAAAATGTCAAAACTTAAAGATAAACAGAGAATCTTAAAAGCAGCAAGATAAAAACAACTAGTTACATACAAGGGAACCCCCAAAAGACTATCAGCTGATTTTTCAGCAGAAACTTTGCAGGCCAGAAAGGAAGGGCATGATATATACAACATGATAAATGAAAAAAAGAAACAGACAACCAAGAATACTCTATCTGGAAGGTTATCATTCAGAATTGAAGGAGCGTCTCCTTCAATTGAATAGTCTCCTATGATTGAACAAGCAAAAGTTTAAAAACCTCATCACCACTAAATTGTCATTTTAAGAAATGTTAAAGGGGACTTCAAAACAAAGAAGAAAAGGCCAAAACTCAATATAGGAAAATACTGGAAAGAAATAATCTCACTGCTAAAGACAAACATTTAGTAAAAGTAGTGGATCAACCACCTCTAAAGCTAGTATGAAGGTTAAGAGACAGAAGTAGCATAATCCTTTATATCTACAATAATTAATTAAGGGATACACCCACACACAAAGATGTAAAATATGACATCAAAAACATAAAGTATGGGGAGGAGGTGAGTAAAAATGTAGTGCTTTTAGAATGCATTCAAACTTAAGCAACCATCAACTTAAAACAGACTATTATATATATGGTTCATAGTATATGCATATCATGGTAACCACAAACCAAAAACTTACAACCGATACACAAAAAATACAGAGAAAAGAATCTAAACGTAACACTAAAGAAAGCTATCAATGCATAAGGAAAAAGNACGATGCAGAAAACAGATGCAACTAGTTAAGATGCAACTTCAGCTAAAAAGATGTCAAGTGTAGGATATATATAACTATATTTTTACTAAAATTTTCACAAAAATAAAACACAACTCCTAACTATAGAGTAGCATGTGATAGCACTAATATAGTAGGTAATTTGGACCAATTTATGAACTAGTCATTACATAGTTTTAAAATGACATGTTTTACTCTCCATCATCTTAATTATTTATCATCTTACTTACAGAAGTCAGACTGAAGTCTTCATGGATACTTCCAAACAAATCGGGAGAAGAAACATCAATGGAAAGACTGAATATAGAAGCAAGAGAACAGTTACAATTAAAGCACTACAGTGAAATATGCTGATATAATTTTATATGTCAATTATACCTCAATAATAAAAAAACATGGAACTTTATGTAAATTTTACTTTGAAGTCTTTGGTTGGCTCTCTGGGTGGTGGGGGTCAAGAAGGCAGAGTAGCAGACCTGGAGCTCACCTACTTCCATGGTCACACCAAAAGTACAACCACATATAGAGCAACACTCAGTGAGCATGACCTGAAGACTAGCTGAACAGATTTTTCTATGATTCAGAATATAAAGAAATGTAGATGGGAAGGAGGGTGAAGACACAGGCTGGTCAGGACCCATGGCCCAGTATGGTGAGCCCCAAGTGGGAGGGACATCAGAACCACAGCAGGCCCCCTGAGGAGACAGGGGTCTGAGCCTCACACAGGTGTTCTAGCCCAGGGGACTTGCACCAGGAAGAGGAGCCCCCACAACATCTGGTCTTGAGGAAAAGCAGGAGAGTGAAAGGGCTGCAAGAAACTGAGACTCCACACTTAAAAGGCTCATGTACCAACTCACTCGTGAGTCCCAGCACTGAGGCAGCAGTTTGAAAAGCCCTGGTGTCATTCATTACAGAATTACATTGATTAGCTTTAGGGCAAGTACTGGAGGAGCAGGGTATCAACTGGAATTTTGTCCCGGGACTGAGGTGCTGGTGGATGCCACTATTTCTTTGTTCCTTTTATTTC